TTCTAATTCAAGTTATAATATCGAAGATTATATAAACGATCCACCGCCACCGGCTAAGACAGCACTATAAGTCTCGGTCACCCAGAACCTCCTAGTTTTTAACGTACGAAGGGCCTGGGACCGTTGTCAATATTTGTCGAAAAGTTCCATTGCTCATACGTAACCGGGGAGTTTTTTTTTATTTTATGTGGTTGAGTATCCAGTATCTTTGACCAAGTCAAGTAAGAGTTGTGCCCCTTCCCGCAATACATCCCATAAATCTTGCATTAATATAAACATACATGAATCCTGACGACGAATTGGATTAATTTTTAAAAAAAAAACCCATAGATATGGCCCATGAAGAGAGAAAAAAATTAAGAGTGTTGGATATTGAACTAGCATTGCAGTCAATTTTCTGTAATGGTATTCTTAAATTAATTTCAAGGGCGTCAACATCTTGGTTTAGGACTAGTTATCTCCCTTGGACTTAGTTTATGACAACGTAAAAGACCGGATAATCTAGCCAATAACCTATTATTCTCAAATGTTGACAACGCATCCAGACTAATATTCGTAGAATATTTTTCTTGATGACAGACTACATCACTATAAGACAACATAAAAGTTAAGATGCCCAATTATCAATTATATATTTTTGCGGGGGATGTTTGCCGCATTATTGCTAATCGATTATTTCCAAACGCTTGAGAAAAAGATTATTTGATCCAGATGAATAAATATCGTTGAAAACAGAAATACAGTAATCAGTTACAAAACCGAACAAATATTTGCTAACATTTATTTTTATTAATGAAATCATGATTGGCAAGTAATTAATTAGCAACGAAAATGGTAATTACCGGAATCGAACCAAAACCAGAGTCAATAAAGCAGGAAAGAAACATAGTGCTGATTAAATAATAGATCTTTTCTTACTAACAAGGTCTGATGATGTTTTAGCATATAATTCTTAAAAGATGTTACGATGCTTGAAATGTCAATATGTAGATAATCTGTACTATGTAAAGGTTATAACTAATGTTATTTAATCTACAGAGATCTTGGACCGTATTACATTTCTTTGACTTTCTTTTTATTAAATTTTATTTGGTCTCTAGGTAGACATTAGTACTATAGGTAAATAGAAGGAGTGGGTGTCAGTCATTGCTTTCTTTTTTTTACTTGATTTCATTGAGGGCCCTAGGTAGACACAAGAACTATAGGATATTAAATATATCTAGTAATGTAGAAAATTTAATAATAAGTCGCCGCCATAAAACACCCGTGCCCCCACCATTCGCCTTCGATCATAATTTGGTGGGAAAGCTCTGAGAAAGATACAGAAAACGCTGACACGATAAAGGCAAATTTAACTATTGTCGGCATTGGGAGAGAGAGCAGGGACGTTTTAGGAAACTATAATTTAGACATTTATAGAAACAAAAATCTATTAAACAGAGCCAACCACATCTTAAATGTTCTATTAACCCACCGAGCCAAATAGTGACTATTTCCAAGCAAATTATTTTGGGGGATTTAAGCTTTCATAAATGAAGTAAATTTAACTAAGTCACCAACAATTTTTATATCAATTAAAAGTCTACAAAGGAAACACTGTAAAATATGGAAATAAGTTTTAAAATCATAAGTTCCAAATATATGTCATAGTGATTTGATGTATACTGAAGCAGCTTCGATAATTTAACGTCATCTACAAATTTTGAGTCTGGTAGGGTGCTTAAAGGGTTAACTTGATATTTAGCCGACGCAGATGCTATACAATTTATTGACATTTTAATGTACATTTTTATACTTAAAAGTATAAATGTAACTTAAAGACCTCGGAGCTGTGGTATTAGTGTTCAATCTTCTCGGTGATAGCTGTAAATGTTAATGGCAAATCTGTATCCTTTTATTGATTTACAAATAAAATTAAAACAACGTATTACAGTAGAAAGCCATTTGAAGAGATATATTATGGGCCAGTTAAAGATAAACCGAAAATTTAAGGGATATGATAGGATGGTCATTTTTTTTAGATAGATTTTATTTAGCTGCCGACATGTTTATATGCAAAGCAATGTGACGGATGAGTAGCGGTTAGCGATCAGTTCCTGGTCCAAAAATACTACAGTATATTACATAATGTCAATGTAGACATTCATCTGAATCAGAAAAAAAATGAAATGAAATTAACCGTACCATTCGAATTGCTGGACACTGCTTCATGCTATGCCCTCCGCCTTGCATCAGTGGCAATGGGAAACCACACCGGAAATTCCCGATGAACATTCTCGGTCAACACCTAGTCGAACCCTGGAACTACAGGTTAGCGAACCACCGCGGCTTCCGCTGAATCAACGACTTTTGTCTGCAATATCACGCTGGGTGTAGTCTAATGCAGGTGTATTGAGACCACAATTTTATAGTAGGTCCAACATGAGTAATGCTAAACGTACTTGTTAAAACGTAACAAACTCTGTATCTATGGATGTAAATCCCCGGTCTCACCGGCCACGATTTAGTCACGACAGCCCACGAATGGGCGAGAATATCCACTAATTTAAATTATGTTGATACATGAGAAAAATCGCTACAGCACGTTTACCATCGGCGGTACGGTTTACTGCGTGTCGGCAAGCTTTGAAAACACTGGGCTACCTTGGAAAGCCGTGGCAAATAATGACGAACAGTGTAGCAAACCGTACCTGGACCGGGACTTTACATTGCGTTGGATTTGAATCTATGACTGTAACTTAACGTGCAATCTGAATCTATGAACGTAATATAATTTTCAATCCTAATCTATGAACGTAACATAAAATTCAATCCGAATCTATGAACATAATATAACGTTCATTCTGAATCTATGAACGTAACATAAAATTCAATCCGAATCTATGAACATAATATAACGTTCATTCTGAATCTATGAACGTAGCACAACTTTCAATCTGAATCTATGAACATAATATAACGTTCATTCTGAATCTATGAACGTAGCACAACTTTCAATCTGAATCTATGAACATAATATAACGTTCATTCTGAATCTATGAACGTAGCACAACTTTCAATCTGAATCTATGAACGTAACATAACTTTCAATCTGGATCTGTGAATGTAACATAACGCTGGCTAATGATATAGACTACTCTGTATCTATGAACATAAACATCGTAATGCACAATCGGAATTTAAGAACACACATTGTATATTTGAATATCTCCATAAATACCACCGCTTATTAAAATATACGACTCTCCTGGCTACAATTTTCGTTTCTTTATTTTGATTAAAATGTTGATTAAAACGCCCAAGCTATACCTAGAAAAATAAACAATCACAAATCTCATCCCCAATCCCACCTTTTTTTCTAAAATAGGAGCTAACATTTGTTGTTCTTTATTTTGATTAAAGTGTTAATTAGAAGACCCAACTATCTCTGGACAAACACATTCATTACACGAGGCCTTCTATATATCCATAGTCTGTATAGGACAAATTGAATCAGATCACGAAGTTTTAGTTACAGCTAAATAAAGATGAAATGGATTGTCATGTTATTCCTAGTTGATCTATTGTTTTGGCTTGAAAGACACGACCCCTGTTGCTTTTTAAATTAAGTACAATTTAACATTATTTATTTTATAGGAAAGAGAAAGAGTCACCCGTCGTGCTCTAAACAAAATCAATGTTCCATGAGTCTTGGGAATTTATTCAACTATAATTTTCTCTTAAGTGCACGATCGATGGGTATTAAAATAAACATATAAGGAACCGACACAAGTGGACTCGATGGAGTCTAGTAATACTTTCTGGAAGCCGAAGGCAACGGATTACAATATTAATTTATTCTGGTTAAAACACAAATCCTATTTCGTTTCGTTTCGTATCGTTCAAAATTTTGTTTTACTTATCTTTACTACACTAGGATCTGAAAGAGCTGTATCCCCCGTTCTGGTTTATGTGAGGGATTAACCAATGAAACGGTCTGTTGCAGCGAGTTCTTGGCGTGCGATGCACGGAACTGTGGGTATCTTACTAGAAATATCAACGCCGATTGGTCAATCAAATGTTTGACGTCATAGGATCAAAACCTGACCCTGACACGACCTCCCACTACAACTGGTCAGATCTTCATTTAGTAGAGGCCATCGAAAGTATAAAAAAATGAAACGATATATAGATCTTTTAATCAGATTGCTTATTAATTAGTAAATCATATACTGGAAACAGAACGTTGTAAACAATCACTCTAACTTACTAGACGATAAAACGACCGTGTCAGTGGCGCATTTAAAAGAGAGATTAGGATGGAAGAGGGGGCGCAGGGCATTGTGCGTCATGTTTCTTTGTTTACCAGATTCAACCCGAAACTTGTTTTTAATTAATTTTTGCGGGGGACTGTACCACTCTTGAATATCCGTTTAAGTAATTTAGACATTTTCTCGCACGATGTAGATGGTGTATTAATAGGCACTAAATAATCCAACGGTATTTAGGTATGTATGTTATAAGGTCGGCTGATCCCCATCGCGCCGTGTTGATACGTTTTGTCAAATCGCCTCGTCGTTAGCGGATAAGCATTCATTGATAATGCAGATGCCACTGTATGTCCTATAGCTGTATGTCCTAAAAATAAAACAGCTACAGAGGGGCTCTTGGGACTGAAGGGGGTATTCAACCCAAAGAACATATTTGAGAATTCCCGACGCCACATTCACGAGGGGTCTATGAAAATGCCTGACCAAACGAACAGGCACCGAAAGCAAAAATCTTCTTACATCTAATTTTTGAAAACCTCACGTGTACATTAGAAAACAAAATTTATTTTTGGGTTGCCCTTTTCTACCAGAAAGGGATATTCATTCAGTTGCTGGGATAAGATAAATGCTAGCCAATTCTGGAGATGAAGAAACCCATTGGGTTCCTCTTTGGCCTTAATAGTTACTGTGATGTATTCCATTTTGTCTATATCCTCCTATTATAATTTGTCTATATTTTGTATTTTGCAGGCATAAAAGAAACATCTGAAATGGAAAAATCAGTTGTAACGTCATTATGCCTTCTCCTTGTCGCCGTAGTTTTCATCCATTGCGCTGTTGGCATGGGTGATTCGAAACAAGCCAGTTTTGGTGATGCTCCGGCAGATCGAAAATATCAGGACTGGTATGAGTGGCTAGTTAAAAGAAATTTCGGTGGAATGAATAAGGGATTCGGCGTACAGGAGAATGGAAAATTTTTGGACTGGGAGAATATGTTAAAAAATGGAATATCTAAGAGGCAGTTGAGCGTTTCACCAGATCGCTTTGGGAGTTATGGCGGTTATTTCAGCAATGGGCTACAGGATTGGAGGCGTGCTTTCACTGGATCAAAAAGACAGGGGGCGACCAAAACACGAAAATAGACATTGTAGGCATTTTGGACATTGGGTGATACGATATGTCACTTTATATACATCAATTGGTTTCCGGTATTTATTTAATAACTCTATTTAATGCAGTGGTTTTAATTTCATTCTCTATGTAGTTGTTTAATTTCATTGCACTATGCAGTTGTTTAATTTCATTTCTAAGTATACTGTACTGTTTTATTTCTTTGCTCTAAATATTATTTTATTGATGAGGGTATAGATACCCCCACCCCCTCTATGTCGTTATTCACAAGAATTGCATTCACTGTAACTATAAGCCCCGTTTAGTCAGTTCTTTAAGGTGACCAGTTCTTTGTCTTTTTGTTAACTGCTAAAATTCTTGATTGTACAAATTGATATAATAACTCTTGCAAATTATTCATTATGCTCAACGTCAAAATTTCACAAACAAAGTGTATGTTTTCGCAATAAAAACTATAAAACTAAAAAAAAAAAAAAAATAATAATAATAATTGGGTTATTTGTAAAAATATATTTATCCGTATTCTCCACCATCCTTAGAATATATACATATTTAATTTAAACTTTGGAATAGAAATGGCATTGCTAAGTCTCCAAGTGTGCGTGCCATATTACATCAAGACTTGAGTAATATGAGACCGTCAGTCCAGCGGGGCCTTGGTAATTCGAACACATACTGGGGAATTAGAACTAGATAAGCTATATAATAAACTGAATGGCCCTTTATATGGAGGCAGTGGCGTAGCCAGGATTTATGTAACGGGGAGATGCGATGCCCTTGAAAATTTCGAAAATCTGAGTCTATTTCCTGGCATTTGAAGTCATTGCTGAGAGCAAATTCTTGTGAACGAGAGGATCAGAAATTAACTGTTGTACAGTCTGTCGCCCCACGCACTAGGGGCACTACTAACTAGGCGGTTCACTATAACCGTGAATATGATGATAATGATGAGATATTACAAGATCACTGCGGAGTGGAAGAATGGTGACATAATGGAATCGAGCGCCTAAGTTCAGTATACTGGGCTTTTCATTTTCAGTTTTTTTAATGTATTAAACGATTTTTTTGATTGGTCGATGAAAATAGCACGATCATCAAGGGCAGATAATTTGAATACGCCCCCCCCCCCCACTCCGCCATTGATGAACCAAGGGATTAGTTGAGTGGAATGGAATGAGATCACTGGGGATACCAAGGATGTGTGTGTCTCTGTATTCATATCGACCCAACTGTAATGGAGTGGGGTTTAACGTCCTACTTTTCTGCACCATTAAGATTTAATTTACGTGCACGCCAATGTATACAAGGGCCCTGGGTTTTTCGTATCATCCGAACGACTAGACATGTCTCGTGTCGTACCATTCGCCCTGCACCATTGACAAGGGGAACCGCGACCCAGCTGTAATCGAGTACCGGTAGGATAGTGCAGGGTAAAATGTATGTAGCATGAGCATTGTGCAGAAAACATAGATGTTGCAGGGTAAGATCAGAATTATATACGTTATGTCACAAAGTCGAAACAAAATGTCCTTATATTGTCCCATTCATAAACCATAACCAAGTAAAATATTTCAGTATACTTAAAGGAGCTAAGTCGCTAAAATTTGGGACCTTGAAATTGACACAAATGGGTCGGAACGCATATACTGAATGTATATAAACTGATTTACATTAAATTGTTTAGTTTTTACTGATCAGTACAGTGTATGTTCGGCGAAATACGCTCGAAGTGCCAATCGAATGGCAATCTCCAGCGTCTAGTTATTCCAGTCTACTCAGATAGTATTTATTGCGCGTCACCGTTTGATATTACTTGTGCGATAGCCTCGTTCTTCGAGTTACTTGTTACAAATGGCGCTGAAACGCATTATGGTGTACCAATGGTAAAATGTTTATTTTGTCTTAAATATTGGATATCAGAAACCCATCTTTTCCCGGTAAGATCACAAGATCAATGTTGATTTAAACTGACAAATGATTCGTGTTTTGAATGTTGAAGATTTTGGATGATATTGAGTAAGAGACTTAGCTACTTTAAGTAAAAAGTATGCATGAGCTTCAAAAATGCTTTGAAGAAGCCTGGACAATTTGTTACACGAGCGTATATCTTAAGTTTCCGTAAATATGACTTATTGGCGGACGAGGGTTTTTGTTTTGGTGGTACTTCGAAAGGGCGAGTCCGGTTAGAACACTGGACTCACAACCAGAACGTCACGGAATAGAACCTTCGAGATTATTTAAACCAGGTTCTCTCGTCAGAGATCGCGCCTGCGAGGATGACAAGGAAAATATCTCTTGTTAGGATGAGATAGGCCCATTATACAAATTGTTAGTTCAAGTAAAAGTCCTTGGGCTTGGCTTTAGATATTCTAAGACGAGTTGACGGAAAAACTTATGTCGGTAAAACAACCCCTCCCACTCTTTCCTTTTAAAAATAACCACAGAAATCTCAAAATGACCCACACGAGACGTTAAAACCTATTTCAGTATTCCTTTATATGAATTATGATCCATCAAGGTTTGAAGAATTAAACTACAGATAATATTATACGTAATACATCCTATGGTACACGATTCTAAATATAGTCAAGGGATTTCCTAAATGGGCCAAATCGGAACCCTACGACAAGTTACATAAGCCAATCGCGAAGAGTAAACAGACCGCAACCGTTCGCAAAAAACAGCGTATAGTCGTTCGGATGGGGCAAAAACCGAGGTCCCGTGTACGCCAAGAACTCTTGACAGTTGAAATTCGATATAAGAGTAGGCCGTAGGCAAAATTTCCCAGATTGTTCACTCGACTTCAACATGGCAGACTTGTCACTCGCTGGCATCCGGTCAAGTGACTTTCACTTTCATTTTTAAAAAGTTTTTTGGCGATTTCTCCTCGAAAAGTGCCTTTCTTTCAATGCGTATTATATTTGGTCAAGGGTTGTATGAAAATGTTCACACTAACGCACAAAAAAAAACAGGTTAATATAAATCTACCTACAAATATACCTAATGTAGAAGTAGCTCTAAGGATTTGTCTCGTTATGACGGTCTCCAATAGATTGGCCAAGGGTGACATGCCTCACAAGAATGTCGAAATTGCACACGAGACTGAATTGTCTGTTTGAGAATGGCAATGAACGCTGATGTTCGCAAAATAGACTTTGATGAACTGACAGACATCTTCTATACAACTGTCAGGATTTGAAATTACCTTGACTTCTCAATTCAGACGGCTAAAGATGACATGGTCACATACTACATTATTTCTCTAAGAGTTAAATTGTTTACGTTTTGATTTTCATTTTATACTTGGCTCTAAGCATCAATTGATTGTGACAGGTCGACTAATATGGTAATGTATTTCTGTATTTCTACATCTACAGGAAATGTTTTTCACAGCGGTCTAGCTTTGCAAACGGCCTGGTCGAGCTGTCTACCTCCCATCGGAGCATTGGTCCGCCTCTGCTAACATACAATCTCGTTATTAAATAAATCGCGAAGAAGCCTAATAATTTTACAGCATTTAATTCATCGCTTATAAAATTTAACGAGAGACTCCCAAGATATCTTCACGATTTTTATAAAAAAAACAAACAAATCCCCATTTGATGCAATTTAATTTCCAAGCGTATAAATACACTTTATAATATTATTACACAGAACTATTTATTTCAACCAAAGCTAACGTTGAAGCTCTTTATTTAAAAAGATACATGCTAGCGAGACTAAATACTCCCAAGAGTCAGATAACATATCAAAAAATAACAAACGGTGATTTATCATATGTTAGGAGAAATAGAATAAGTTATTAGTCTTTGTATAGTAGAATATAACTCTTATACATGCGTAGGGGAACCAGGCTGGATAATCACGTAGCACTTCCTCCTTCAACACCAGAATCAAACCCTGGACCTTCGGCTTAATGGGACAGGGCAATACTCACAGAGCCACCGTTGTTCTTGAACATACATGTAGAAGCTAGGGGTTCCTCAACTTCAAATAACTGCTCAACATTGAGACAAAGCAAACTCGAAGAGCGGATTTGTAGAATGAATGGAACAAAGTACAAATTATATAATGCAGAACTTTGTGTCTTTAAATAAACAGCTCCAATGTGGGTTTCGCCACCATGTAGCGTCACCATAAAAGTTATTCGGTTTGCATATTTTTTCTATAAAAAGGCGTCTTTAGCTATTTGTGTCTTTATTCATTGTTCGTATGTAAATTTTGTTATATCTCTTTGTCGTTAGATGTTGATGATATTAATAAGAACGAAGGAATCCAAAGGTAGTGGGTATATAACTATGTTTTAAGGTCGATATGTCAGAGGTCACCATTGCGCTGTGTATAGATGTTGTGTCAAATTGTCTTGGCGTTAAGAGTACTGATTTATTGACAGAAAGCAGACGCCGCTACATTTCCAATAGCTAATAAAACAGATAAAGGGGCTCTTGGGAAGAACACAATTCAAATTCATGTGCTTATATAACTTTAGTCTGGAGAATAGTGTCTCGCTGAAGACATGTATTCAATCCAATTCAAATAAATATCAATAATTTGAATTCAAGAAGACACATTTCAAGATGGGTCCAAGCAAATGTCAAACCCAAAGAAGATGTTCCGAAAGCTCTTCTATCTGACAATCCCTGAATGGAATGAAATCAAGTTTAACGTCCCACTTTTCGGTACCGATTAGGCTGATAAACACGGACATACGCCATGCAGTGTGCTATCGGGTAGAATTTGTCCCGACAGCAGCACTAAGGCCTACACTTATGGGGTTGGTGGGATCAAGATATGTGTGCTCTTGTCTCGGTAAACAAGAAATGAAACTAAAGAGATGTTCCCCCAATCTTTAAAAATAAAAGTTTTAATTATTGACCTTAATCTAAGAGGATTTCCTTTAAAACAACATTCAAAACATTTCAAAATAGAACTTTTGGTATAATAATATTCTAACCCAGACAAATGGTTAGCGTTTGTATTTTATTTGGATTTATTTCAATTGAACAAGCCATGGTATGACATTTAAAAACAAACGATCTTACCAAGGATACTGACGTAGAATACAATAACTTAGGATAATTATGGGGGAATTTAAGTGTTGAAATATGAATCAAAGTAGCTATTTATGGAGACGTATTGATGACTGAACTTTTCCTTGGTGCGTCGTGTTTAAAACTCTATTGTTAACTATTCGTGTATTTTCTGAAAAGCTTAAAATATCTAATACATATTAGCACATTTCTTTCATAGATTGAAAAAAAGAAGTTGCCGAAAGCTGTCTAAAACTAAACAAAAGATATGCTATGTCTCAACAGCAGCTTATCCGAAAGTTAAACTTAGATGTGATACCAATCTGGGGCTAGTTGTTCAAAGCTCCGTTAACCCCATGCTGAGAAAGCCTGTTGCTGGAAGCCCCGTTAACTTGAACATGACGTTAACTTGCCTGACGTTAACTGTGCTTCATTTTCTGATTAACGA